GGCGCCACGTCCTGAGCCCTGCAGATCTCATTCACCCTACTGGACCTTATTGCATAAGGATTCCATGGACATTGTACTGTGGTGTCTAATGTGTGTAGCAGAAACCCCCATCCCTGCACCAACTCCAACACATGCATGCTCCCTCTCTCCTGCAAGCATTATTGCTTTAGGATCCCTTGGCTGCCATTCAGTAGCACGATGGGATATGAGAGGAGGGAGTTCTCCGTACATGTGGCCTGCATTACCCAGGCATGCTTTCCAGGCTGAAGAAATTAGCTTCTTAATTATGTGGCAATGGTGTGAAAAATTATTTTAGGACTTTTAAATAGGGGATCAACCCATGTGTTCTGATCACATTTAGGACTCAACATTCTGCTGGCCCAGATATGCTGGTGTATATATGAAACGGGGGGTTACGCATTGTAACCCTAGTTATATAAGCACAGGCGGAGCCCTCTACTGGACTCTATGGGTACTACTCTCTATCATGCTATGCGGGCATTCACCTACTGAGTTGCATAAACGTAGCTGGCCAATCGGGGCGAGCCTACCTGAATGTGCGTGCAGGCCCACAGTATATAAGGCGGCTACGCCTCCCGACTGTCATCCTACACCCTCTTCAGTGAGCGGCATAGGAAAGACAGGGCCCCCAGGTAGAGGGCTCCGCCTGTGCTTATATAACTAGGGTTACAATACGTAACCCCCCATTATATATCACACAGGCTCCGTCCTCTACTGGACTCTATGGGTACAGTGGGTGGAGCCCCGATGTATAAACGCCCTGTCGTCCAACAACATCGACCCATCACACTGCCCCCGACTGGCCTTTGGTTAACAGCCACCGCACCCCCACTTTCTCCCATCCGGTTGTGACCGTGGAGAAGACGGGGCCGCAGCTTGGATAAGGCACACTCACACGCTTACCTCGTGTAGAGTGTGCATGGAAAAAATGGTGTGGAAGACTGTACTGCATGTTCCCCAGGTCCCTAAGGAGCATGGGAAAAACATAAGTGCACTCTATCCCTGGGGGGGGTCAGCCACCTACTGACCCACAGCCCCCCCCCCCCCTATCACCAGTCATGTGTTGCCCCGGCAAGCACAGACGACGAGAAGGAGCCAGACTAGTCCAAGAGATAAAACTTTATGAAGGGGCCTGGCGTAGACCAAGACGCCGCCGTGCATAGCCATAGCCCGCGTAGAGTGTGCACCGACCCCAGTGGGGAGGGCTCTCCCCGTCCGTCCATAGGCATGTGTAATGCACTCGCAGAGCCATCCTGTCAGGCGCCTCTTGGAGAGAGCTTTTCCAGCCACACCACCCCCAAAACACACAAACAGCTGTTCAGTGTGCCTAATGGCAGCCGTGTGCTCTACATAACATCCCAGTGCACGCACGGGGCAGAGGAGGTGCAATTTAGCCTCCCTGGCCCCAATATGGGGTGGAAGATTAAAGCCACCTAACTGAATAGACCTCGACCTGAACGAACTCCTTCGGCTCTTGGGAACAAAGGAGGGGTTCGGTCTGAGTGTCGGTCTGAGTGTCGCCCCGCTACGGTCACCCCGGATCAAAAAGCAACTTGGGTGCACCGACAGAGCGGTCAGCTCGGACACTCTCTTGGCCGAAGTCAAGGCAAGTAAAAACGCTGTCTTCCATGACAGTGCTTTCAGGGAGGAGAGTTCCAGAGGCTCAAATGGTTCTGTGACCAGAGCCTCGAGCACCAACGGCAGGTCCCACTGTGGGGCGGAGGCGTGCACTACTGGGCGCTGCCTCCTGACCCCCTGCAAAAACCGCGACATAAGCGGCTGACTGAAGGTTGACCTGCCGCCAAATCCCTCATGGCAGGACGAAATGGCTGCTGCATACACCTTAATTGTGGAATGAGCAAGCCCCCTGTCCACCAGTATCTGTAAGTAGGACAGAATAGAGCCCAACGTACATGATAGAGGCTCTAGACTCCTTTCTTCACACCATCGCTGGAATCCCGCCCACTTCGGCCTGTAACAGGCTGTGGTGGATCCTGCTCTTGCTGCCTGGATAGTCTGAATAACGTTGTCAGATAGTCCCACCTGTATCAGCCTGTCCCTCTCAGGAGCCAAGCCTGGAGAGGTTGGCCCAGAGTGGGTAACGCTCCTATTGCACCTGCTTCCTGAGACAGCGCCCCCCACCATCATGGTGTCACCTCCGCGTACCTCCGCGTACCACGGCAACCTGGGGCCACTAGGATGACTGACAGACACTCCCTCTCCAGGAGGGGGGGAATGAGATGCAGCGGTGGAAAGGCGTAAAGCAGCTTCCTTGGCCATGGCTTGTGTGCAAATGCGCCCACCCCCAAGGGCGGGTTGTCCCGCCGGGCCAGGGAAAACCACAGGGCACAGTGGCTGTTGCGCCGGTTGGCAAATAGGTCCACCTCTGCTCTCCCAAACTGAGTCCAGACCTGCTTCACCATGAAGCCTCCACTCGTCTGGCAGGGGCCCGCCTCTTGACATGAGGTTCTCCCGTCCCGGGATGTGCAGAGCCCACAACCACAGGTTCTCTGCTGCGGTCAACAAGGCTACGGAGTGGACTCCGCCCTGCCTGTTGATGTATGCCACTGTGGTGCGGTTGTCGCTCCTCACTAGCACATGTTTGCCCTGTATTAAGGGTTTGAAGTGCTGTAGGACCAACACTACTGCCTGCTGCTCTACGAGGTTGCTGTGCCGAGCCTCTGTCAGAGGCCAGCCACCACCTACAGCTTTCTCTAGGCAGGTTCCCCCCATCCTGTCACGGATGCGTCTGTGAAGACCGTGATGTAGGAGGTCACTCGCCCCAGTGGAGACCCCCTCCGCAGATGCTCTGGGGACCCCCAGAATCGGAGGTTGCCCTCCACTGAGGAGGGGATGGTCACCAGACGTCGTTTGTGCCTCTTGGGATCTAAACGAAGGCAGATAAACCACCTCTGCAGGCGACGTGTATGCAATAATCCGAGTGGCACCACGAAGTGAGCAGCCGCCATGAGACCCAGAGTCTGCATGATGGTCAAAGCTGTCACCGTCGCCCCCTGATGCAGTTTGCAAACTGCCCGGAGCAGGGATGCCTGTCTGCTTTCTGTCAGGGTGGCACGCAGTCTACCTGCATCGAGCAAAACCCCCAGATATTCTACCTGCTGGTGAGGTATGGGGGAGCTCTTCTTCCAATTGGTTAGGTGTAGGATCAATTGGGCTGTGTGAAACATTGCCCATTCCCTGGACCTGGCCATGACTATGAGGTCGTCTAGATAAAAGAAGACCCTCATGCCATGGTCGCGCAGCGGCTGAAGCGCTGTGGCCACACATTTTCTGAACGTGCGTGGGGATAGAGAGTAGCCGAATGGTCTGTTGTACTCGTAGGCTATCCCCTGGAAGGCGAAACGCAAATACTTTCTGTGCTTTGGAGCAATTTCGACATGAAAGTAAGCGTCCTTCAGGTCGATGGTTGTGAACCAATCGTCCGGCTGCACTAGTCCCAGTAACTGTTTTATAGTTAACATATGGAACTTTTTGCAGGCAATGTGCTGATTCAGGCTTCGGAGATCCATAATGGGCCTGAATTCTCCTGTCTTCTTGGGAACCAGGAAGTACAAACCCTCCATAAAAGGAAGTATGGCCCATTGGGGGCTGATACAGAAAGGGCGGATTTTCCTTGAACGCACCGCGGCACGCTCTTGTGGGAGCGCGCGCTCCGCCATAATGCAGTTTCCACCCAGAGGGAAAAAAGCATTAATCAGAGTTGTTATGCTAGGTGCGGTGCATCTCCTAACAACAATACGCCGGTCATAATGCCCCTGCACTCGCATAGCGCTTTGATAGCACTTCCTGCGGTTTATCACACTCACATTTTTCACTGAAACATCATAGAGGGAGGAGGCGGGATTCGCCCTTGCGTCCTGGGTGGAGAAAGCCATCTCCGCCGGGACACTTCCTCCCACCACCCTCATCTCCGGGAGGACGGTGCACCCCATCCCGAAGCCCTCTGCTGACGTGGAGCCGGGACAGAGGCCCGTCGGGGTGCTGGAATTGAACCCGCCCCGCAGAACCAGCCGAGGGAGCAGGAGAGGCAGCGGGAGCCGTGGGTGCTCTGTACCTGCGCATCTCTCTCCTTCTTACCGTGGCTTCGCGCTCACCCCGCTGAGGAAAAGCCAGCGGCAGCATACGGCTGAGCTGCACTCTTTCTTCCTCCAACCGGCTGAAGCGCTGCGGGACCAAGGTGATCGATCCGAAGAGCCCTTCTGTGGATACGGGGGCTCCAAGGAGATCATCACAGTCCTTATTGGAGAGCGCCGTGAGTCCCAACCACACGTGGCCAGGGACATCACATGGCCAGCTGCGGTGGCTACACCATGGACCAGATTATTCATCTGTCCTATGCAGCGGTCCAAATAATCACTCCGGTCTTCTTGAGACGGGGAGGCGGGGGCTTTCTGCTGAGGGGTGATCAGCGAGACCCCTAACACGCCCAGATTATTGGCCGCCGCCGCCGCCAGCTGTGCCCCGATCACGGTCACGAGGCAGCGTTTTTTTCCCCTCCGCCCAACCAGCTGCCTGCGGGAGCAGATGGGACGCCCAAACACTCGAAGCACAGGCGGTGGGGATCAGTGCCCGCAATTAAGCCAGGGCATGTAGGGCAAGGCCGAGTTTCAAGGAGTGGTGAGTCCATATTCTTTTCCTATTCATCTTCTTTACGTTTAGCTTTCTTTTCAGTTGTTGCTGCTCGCTGAAGAGTAAAAGGATGACAGTCGGGAGGCGTAGCCACGCCCCGACACTGTGGGCTTGCGCGCGCATTCAGGTAGGCTCGCCCCGATTGGCAGGCTACGTTTATGCAACTCAGTAGGTGAATGCCCGCATAGCATGATAGAGAGTAGTACCCATAGAGTCCAGTAGAGGGCGGAGCCTGTGTGATATATAACTCCTTCACTGGAGATTTATGCTAGTTAGAACTTGTGAGCAGTGCCTGATTAGCTCATGCTATATACCCTTGTGTTTTTCAGGTGATGAGAGAGGTGTGTGTTAATGGGGGCGTGGACTTGGATGGAACTGGATCTGGTTCACCAGTGCACAAACCTGAACTGGAAAAGGTAAACTAACCTATAAACAGATAAGTTTTACCCCAATAGAGTGCCACAGTCCTAAAACCCGGAAGTAAACTCCTTCCGGTTCCTTCGACAAAAACCAATGCAATTTCTCCATAGGATTTTGGAAAATAGCTTGAAATAAGGTCTGTGGTTGACACACATTTAAGAGACGGATCACGTTTTGTTCAGCCGGATAATATCCACATGTCTACCCTACTTTTCTAATTTTCTAATCATAAATCTAGTCGCCAGAAGCAAAATGCTAACGTTATGCTATAAACGAACTACAAGCGAGTACAGCAGCAGGGTCGCATGACTTCAACATCACGCCAACTTAAGATCGTTTCAACTGACTTTTGCGCGCTTGCATATTTTAATAAAGCTTTTCCTTTTAGCCACACTGAATTTAACTAGAAGTCATGGCTTTGTCAATTACCAGTCTGATATCATTTTACAAAGATGACAAGAAGAGTGTAGATAGAGGAGAGAACCACTATAAGTCAGGACACGTACAGCAGTGCAGCCTAGATGAAGGTGTACTTACCAAGGTCTATACTATAGAGATTCCCAGTCGATCGCGAGATGTGTCTAAAAATAGAACAACAATATTCAGTTGTATCGTTAATGTCCTATAACATAATCTTCCTGTGCCAGAATAATGCACTTGAACGCATCCAAGCTTTGTGATTGGCGTGACCCCATGTGTCACGCCAATCGCGTGACACATGGGGTCACGTGGCTGGTGGGCAGTGGGCACTAGTTCACTGACGTTGTCCGTGTCAACAGGAGTGACAGTCCGCACACACACAAGACCGCAATTATGGCAGAAGCAAAAAAGCCCAAAATATATAATTTTCACTCCGAGTGGGACGATGATTATTTTTTTTATCTATTCCAATTCAAAGTCCATCTGTCTCATCTGCAATGCGAGCGTGGCTTTACCGAAGAAGGGCCATTTAGGAGCGGCATTTCAAAACAGTGCACAAACGCTACGAGACGGAATTCCCTCCTAACTCTGCCCTACGCTCCCAAAAGGTGAGGGACCTGAAAGGACAGCTAAATGCACAGCAGTCCATTTTCACCAGGCCCAACAACAAGAGCAAGGCTGCTACCATAGCATCTTATCGTGTCAGTCACGTTCTTGCGAAACACATGAAGTCTTTCAAAGACGGCGAAGTTGTGAAAGAAGCATTCCTGGAGGCTGCCGACGCGCTTTTTGGGGACAATAAAAATAACAGTAGCATTTCAACAGGTTTTTGATATAATAAAAACTCAAGTTAGATACCGTTATTAATCAGCTGTAAGTTTTAGTTTGTTTGAACTTATTCATTATAATTATTGTACAAAATGGTATAAGAATGCAAACATTAAGATCTGTTCTGTTTAAATTGATTAGTCTATTATCAATTCAGGTTAAGAAACTAGTGTTGCTTGCATCCTATTTTAAAGGCATTTCTTTTTATACTCTACTAAAATGCAACAAAAAAAAGGGTTTGATTCTATTAATTTTGTCTTTTTTATTGCACTTTGGCAGCAGATTCCTGTGTAGCTTCAGATCTGAGTTGTCTTATTAGTAAGCCTAATTTATACTTTTGTAGCAACACTATTTTTATATAATGGCAAAGAAAGGGTTCAGAGTCTTTTCTTTTTTTCCTGTGTCATATGTGGCAGCACTGTTCAATGTTTCTTGAAAACATTACCCACTGTGGTATGTGACATGTGAATAAACTCCAACTCTGTATCAACAACACTGTTGTGTAACTTCAGTTAAATACTTGTATGTGTGTAGATTAGAAAGAGGTAAGATAAAGGATCTGCAGTATTTTATGAAGTATTAATCGTACAAAGGTCAGTTTTATACAAGTAGAAGTGTGTATTTACCTGGTAGTAGGCTGTCAGTAATGGCTACGCCTCTCTAGTTGGACTGGTAGATCTCGGCAGACTGGCAACTTTAAAAGTAGCTCTCGGTTCAAAAAAGGTTGGGCACCCCTGATCTAGAGTGTCGGTGAGTAGTGATAGCAAGAGGACCGTTAACCTAGAGTTCATTTCATTTCATTTCAAACCTTTATTTAACCAGATTGGTCCCATTGAGATCATGGATCTCTTTTTCAAGGGAGACCTGCAGCATATAGGTTCCACATGAAACATAAAACAATAAAGGACATCATACATTATATTTACAGGATACATTTACATAGTTATAGACATTTACAAGTACCCATAGTATCAACGAGCATTTCATTTAGCCTAGCTTTAAAAACATGCAGAGGAATGAGATTGCTCAGTTTCAATTCTTGCTGAAGATTGTTCCAAGCAAGTGGAGCTGCGCACATAAAAGCTGTCTTACCTAAGACAGTCCTTGCTCTTGGCACATCTAACAAGACTACATCATGTGATCTCAGACAATAGCTGCTTGCAACTCTCTGTGTTATCAGAGAGCAGATATAATACGGGAGTTTACCCAACAAAGTTTTATAAATAAACGTGTACCAATTAGGGATGCTCCGCTCGATCGGTCACCGATCGAGATCTGCCGATACTCACTCTCTACCGATCTGCTCTCTAAACATGCCGATCGCGAGGGCCGATCGCATGACGTAAAATACATGACACTTTTCTCTGTACGCGGCAAAACAAGCTCGCCAAAATGGCTTCACCGGTCTGGCATTATTTTAAGGTGTCCGAAAAAGACAGTAAAATAGCGGTATGCAACGTGTGTGTGAAGCAGAAATCCTGCAGCTCCACCCGCTGTGATGGGCGGTGTGAGCAGAGCGAAACACACAAGAGTTAGACCTAACACACTTAGCTATATTATCTACCTCTGGAACAAGCTAAACTAGTTATAAATATGTTTATTCTTCACTGTCGGCCTCACACATTACTGGATCAGCGAGCTGCATGAGACGATACTGACGGGCTGTCAGGAGACGGAGAGAGGGGGAGAGAGAGGGAGAGAGAGGGGGAGAGAGGGAGAGAGAGGAAAAGAGAGCGCTTGCTAATTTCTCCCGTGGTATTATCCAAAGTGAATGTAAACTTGAATAATATACATCATTTGAATGTAATAATTAAGTTGATTGTTGTTTGTGGAAGCTCCAGTGAATGAGCCCCATTAACTGAGTTTTAAACATCACTTTAAATGGAAGATTTAAAGTGATGTTTAAATCTTCCATTTAGGCCCCGCCCACTCGATCGGATCGGCAATCGGTATCGGCAGATACTGATTCCGGCGATCGGCGATCGGCCCCAAAATTGGCGATCGGAGCATCCCTAGTACCAATGACTGAGCCTCCGTACAGTAAGTGATGGCAGACCTGCCTTGGCATACAGGGTACAGTGATGTGTAAGTGCTTTACAATTTGTGACAAATCTCAGTGCGCCGTGATAGGCGGCATCTAACTTGTTCAGGCAATGGGCAGGTGCATTCATATACAACAAATCACCATAGTCCAGTACAGGTCAAAAGGTCACAGAGCCTTTTCCTGGCTTCAAATGAGAAACAGGACTTGTTTCTGAAAAAGAAACCTAGTCTAACCCTCAGCTTTTTAAGCAGGTTATTGACATGAAGTTTAAAAGAAAGGCAATCATCAAGCCAGATACCAAGGTATTTGTAACAGGTAACCACTTCTAGTACTTGTCCTTGCATAGTCACAATATCCAAAGCAGGCTCTGGAGTCTTTTTAGCTTTTGAAAAGAGCATTACCTTGGTTTTCTCAACATTTAAAAGAAGCTTAAGTTCAGAGAGCTGAGTCTGAATAATGTTAAAAACTGCCTGTAATTTAACAACCGCCTCCTTAATGGAGGGACCTGCACAGTACATCACGGTATCATCCGCATAAAAATGCAAAGTAGCTTCATCCACATTTTCACCTAAACTATTGATGTAGATGGAGAATAAAAGTGGACCTAAAACAGAACCTTGAGGAACACCATTAGCAATGTTTAACCACTCAGAAGACAGCCCATCAAAGTGAACACATTGGGACCTTTCAGAGAGGTAGTTCACAAACCACCCCACTGCATGGCTGGATAAGCCAATACTGAGTAGCCTCTGCTTCAGGATTTGATGATCGACGGTATCAAACGCTTTGGAAAGGTCAATAAATAGAGCTGCACAGCTCTGCTTTTTATCTAAAATACTCGTAATGTCATTCACCACTTTCATTGTGGCAGTGATGGTGCTATGTTGCTTTCTGAAGCCTGACTGATGTTTAGACAGGATATCATTTTTACATAAAAACTCCTTTACCTGTTCACTCACTAGGCGTTCAAGAACCTTAGCCAGAACTGACAATTTAGAGATTGGCCTATAGTTATTTAAAATAGTTGCTTCCCCTCCTTTTAGTAAAGGGAAGACATAAGCTGACTTCCATACTTTTGGAATTGCATTTGTGCTGAGGGAGAGGTTAAAAAGAGAAGTGAGAGGTGGAGCAATAAAACCTGCAGCTATCTTTAAAAAGAAAGGCTCTACGTTGTCCGGGCCGGCCGGTTTCTTAGGATCTAACTTAGATAATGCTTCATGAACAACATTTACAGTAAAAGGAGTAAAACTGAAAGGGTTTTCCAGACCACATTGTTCAGAGTCACAGACTGAGGTGATCACAGAAGCAGAGTTAGTCACAGAATCAAACAGAGAGCCACAGGACACAAAATGCTTATTAAAGCAATGTAACATGGTGGCCCTGTCCGATATAGTGCCAGATGCTGTGGAAAGGCACGGAGGTAGCTCATTTCGGATCTCACCGGTGGATATCGATTTTACGGCTTTCCAAAATGTCCTAGGATTATTTAGGTTCTTTGTGGTAACTGACAGATAGTACTTCGACTTAGCACTTTTGACATGTGAAGTGAAGCTATTCCTTAGCTGCCTAAAACGTAGCCATTCTACCTCTGAGCCTGATTTCCTAGCCTTTGCCCAGGCCTTGTTTCTCTCATGCAGGAGACTGGACAGTTCAGCAGAAAACCAAGGATTGTCTCGTCCCTTTACTCTAAATTTACGCAGGGGT